CCCAGATAGAGCCGAATGTTCCATGAATGTTTGTATATGATTCGAATGTTCTCTCTCAGGAATATTCGCATGGATGTGCCGTGAATGTTCCTAGAATGTTCTTCATATTCTATGAACATTCACACAGAATGCCCAGGGAATATTCGCATTAAATGTTCCCTGAGTGTCTATGGCATATTCTGAATGTTCTATGAATATTCTTACAGAATGTACGTGGAATGTACACATGGAACTTTCTACGGATATTCTTACTGAATATACGTGGAATATTAGCAGCGTATATGCTACGAATGTTTATGGAATGTTGTAAATGTGCTATGAATATTCGCATAGAATGTACGTGGTATATTCACGAACTTCTACATGAACATACGCAGTATGTTCCATTATGTTCTAGGAATATGCTATGCATGTTCAAATGATGATTGGTGTTTCTGGGCGCTGCTTGCTATGCACCCAAAAAAATTCTATTCATAAGCGGGGAAATCCTCTAAGCATTTCCTCTAAGCAAAAAATCTTATATGAAGCATTTTTCACTTACTTTAACACATATTCATCTATAAAAGAGTAGACTCATAAGTTATAATTAAAATTAATTTCCTGTATAGAAAATTCCATTACAGTAATACGACTAGCCTCTTGAAATAAGAGGATACGCAAGATATTCGCGGATACGCGAATCGCAGCACGTGCGCCAGCTTCTGAGTAGTTCACCGACCGCCGCTAGGCCGCGCATGGTGGCGGCCAAAAACTCGGAAGCAAAATTCAGTCTCGTAGGGTATAAAAGGAGGCCCGCGAGACTGAATTTTGTTTCCGAGTTTTTGGCCGTCACCATGCGCGGCCTAGCGGCAGTCGGTGAATACTCAGAAGCTGGCGCTCATGCGCCCGCGCGCGTGTCGCGTAGTGCCGGTTGCCAATTTGTGCCGGCTAAAATCAAGAGGGAACCACTAAAAAATAGAATACTTTTCTTTGGGTGAAATATCTACAGCACATTACTGGAATATTTGCTGTATATTCCAGGAACATTCATAGAAATATCTACAGCACATTACTAGAATATTTGCAGTACATTCGTGTACATTCGTAGCACATTTAGATGAACATTCTAGAGATGTTTCTAGAACTTTTGAAGTGCTCCGTTGGTACATTCTATAAATATGCCTCGAACGTATAAAACGACTATTAGAAGATTCCTGGAATCTTCGAATGTTCTTGGCGTATATTCCTAGAATGTTAATGGAATGTTTTTGTGCTATTTGGGATGTAGGACCCTACATCCTCTGCACCCAGTTGTAGAGTGCCATGTTCGTAAATGCGCCAGCTGTCGTCGGCGTCCGCCTCTTCTTGGTGCGGCGCCTCCTCCTCCATTGCCGTCTCGTGCCGGAGGTTCCGCTTCTCCTCTCCGTATTCTCTCGTCTTCTTCCTTCTGTGCGATTACCTTCTCGCAGAAGAGCGAGAAGGCTGTCCGAGCCTCCTCCTCGTTGGTTAGTGCCTCTACCACGGCACCTAATGACAAGTCATTTCCTATGACTCTGGACAGGGCTCGGCGCTCATCCTCCCAGGCTGGACACTCCTCGAGAGTGTGTTGCGGAGTCTCTATTCCCATCGCAGTGACGGCATCTAGCGTCATCGTCGCGTCCTATGCGACACAGGTACTCCCTGAAACATCCATGTCCGGAGAGCACCTGTGTCGTCCTGAAGGATGCTCTGGCTCCTACGCGGTCAAGCCATTCATCCAGTCTTGGAAGAATGGCCTCGACCGTCCTTCGTCCGGGCCTGTTTGGCTCCGAGAGCCTGGCCCTCCACTCCTCTCTCGTCCTCTCCTTCAGCTGGAGTCGAATGGCCATTCTTACCCCGGCAGTTATGGGGACATTATTTTCTCTCAGATTTCTGACGCGTTCGTATACCGCGGCGTGGCTTCTCACAGCCAGATCAATCGGGGGTGATCCCGCCAACAAAGTGGCCGCCGTGTGCGACACCGTGCGGTAGGCCCTTATTGTCCTGACCGCCATCCTTCTCTGCGTCCTGTTAAGAATGGACCGTGCTCTGGCATTCCTCTCCAATGCCTCGGACCACACCGGTGCCCCGTACAACATGATGGAGTCCAACACATTAGAGTATAGCCTCCTCGTCTTGCCACTTGGTCCACCCAGGTTTGGCATTAGTCTGGACAACGCTCCAGCCACGCCGCCCAACCTGGGGGACAGCTTGGTAAAGTGGTCACCAAATTTCCACCTTCCATCTATGTACAGGCCCAAGTATTTAATGGACTTTCCCATCCGGATACGAGTCTCCTGTACGCTCAGGTAAGTATCAGGCGGATCTCCGTGAGAGCCGTCATGCAGATATACGGCTTCCGTCTTTTTGGCGGCGACCTCCAATCCCAGCGATCTAATCGCTCTCACCGCGCAGGCTATCGCCAGGTTGGCTTTCCCTGCCGCCGTCTCCCAGTCGTCCCCACCGGCGAGCACCAAGGTGTCGTCGGCGTAACACACCAAGGTGCTGCCGGTGGGTAGGGCAGCGTCCAAGACCTCGTCGTATGCGATGCCCCACAGGAGGGGCCCTAGGACCGACCCCTGCGGGACACCGCACCCCGCCGGCCAGCTACGCCGATCGCCCCCTCTGTCTGTACAGGTAATTTGCCTGCCCTTCAGATAGTCCCTGATTACGCCTATCAGCGGCTTCGGGAACCTAAACTTCCATAAGACCCTGTTGATGACCTCGTGGGGGAGGGAGTTGAATGCGTTCGCTATATCTATAGCTACCGCCACTACAACTCCCCCCCCCCCC